GGCTGGATTCGAACCCGCCACCTTGGGTGTATGTGGCTGGCGCCTTAGCCACTTGAGCCACAGGCGCCGAGCTGGAGATTTTAAATTTTGAGTTGCAAGGCTGGGCACGGTGGCTCACACCTGTAATCCTAGCACTCTGGGAGGCCCAGGCGAATGGATTGCCTGAGCTCAGGAGTTGGAGACCAGCCTGAGCCAGAGTGAGACCCTGTCTCTAAAACAGCTGGGCATTGTGGTGGGCACCTGTAGTCCCAGCTACTTGGGAGGCTGAGGCAAGAGAATAGCTTGAGCCGGAGAGTTTGAGTTTGCTGTGACTATGACACCAGGGCACTCTACCCAAGGTAACAAAGTGAGATTCTGTCTCAAAATAAATAAATAAATAAATAATAAATAAAATAAGGTAAATTTTGAGCTGCAGCATCAATGGGGCCAGCACGTGGTGTCCTGCAGCTAGTTCAAGAGCTGAAGAGAGGGTTCTAAGTTGAGAGAATCATTTTTGGAGTCATTTGCTTGTGGGTGATAGTCATAGCCCTGTGTTTGTGTTAGAAATCCCAGGAAGTGTGTGTATACTGAGCGAGGGAAGAGGGACAGCCACTTTTGTAGAGACAGGGAGAGCAGCCCCACTGGAAAACATTGCCAAACCTGGAGAAAAAGGACTGGGGTCGTGTTGAGGAAGCAAAGGAGCTCTTTCTTTCCTTCTTTTCTTTGAGACAGAGTCTTACTTTGTTGCCCCCAATAGAGTGTTCTGGCATCACAGCTTACGGCAACCTCCGGCTTAAGTGGTTTTCTTGCCTCAGCCTCCCAAGTAGCTGGGATTATGGGATTACAGGTGCCTGCCACAATGCCTGGGTATTTTTAGAGACGAGGTCTTGCTCTGGCTCAGGCTGGTCTTAAACTCATGAGCTCAGACAATCCACCCGCCTCGGCCTCCCAGAGTTTGATGTTGAGGCAGGTGGAAGACAGGGGTGAGCCACCACAGCTGGCCCCCAAAGGAGCTCTTTCTTTCTTTTTTTTTTTTTTAATTAAATTGTATTTATTTATTTATTTTTTATTGCAGTTTGGCCAGGGCTGGGTTCAAACCTGCCACCCTTGGTATATGGGGCTGGCACCCTATTCGCTGAGCACAGGCACCGCCCAAGGAGCTTTTTCAACCTAAGAAAGGTAGCATAGTCGTAGGGTGCAGGGGTGTCCAACCTTTTTTCTTTTCTGCTATACATTGGAAGAAAAGTTGTCTTGGGCCACACCTTTAACATAAAAATACTAACATAGATGATGAGCCAAAGAAAAGGTCCATGCATACTTTTCCCAATATCCAACACTACAAATAAGCAAAACATTCCTTAAATAAACTGCATGCTTAAAAATAATAATCTGCATGCAGCCCATGGGCCACAGGTTGGACACCCCTGAACTGCAGAGAGAGGAGGAGCCTAGAAGTGCATATTCCAGTTGGTCCTAGGAAGTTACTAGTGCCCTGAGTGTGGGTAGTCCCCATTGGCTGGTCAGGTGGAGTCAGATTGATGAGATTGAGGAGCAAATGAAAGGTGAAGACACATCATGTGGCCACTCAAAGCAGAGTAGCCAGGAGGTGGGAAGACACAAAGCCTCAGCAGGCTTTTTTGTTAAAGGGAAAGTGCCAACTGAGGAGGAGTTGAACATGCCAGAGGAAGGAGAGGGACTTGAACTGCAGCGGGAGGTTTGGGTTTAGTGGTGGGGCTGGGGGAGGGGTGCATCCACTTGGAATCCTGTTTTCAGGTGAGCCAAAGGGTGAGAGTGTCGGGCAGTGTCTGTGGCTCAAAGGAGTAGGGTGCCAGCCCCATATACCAGAGGTGGCAGGTTCAAACCCAGCCCAGCCCCGGCCAAAAAAAAAAAAGGTGAGAGTGTCTACATGTGTGTGGACCCAGACTCTTTTGAGGTAGGAAATGAGATTTCTGAGTAGGATGGTCTCATGCATTAAAGTCCCAGTAGAGCCTAGAAGCCCTGACTGCATAGTAGCCTCCAAAGTAGGCAGTCATATGATTCCTGCTGGCAGCGAGATGTCTCCAGGAGTCTCACTGACTAGACTGGAAGGAAGGACCAGGCCAAAGAGCTAGACAACAGCCATGAGAGATTGAAAGGGTCTCAGCCAGCTGGGAAGGAAGCAAAGGCAGAGGGCTGGCATGGGGGGCTGAGGGCTTGGTGACCAGGATGAGAGCAGGCATCTTCCACACACCACCAGAGCCAAGGCTGCCAGCTTCTTTCTTCTCCATTCTCCCATAACTCTGCTTGCCTTGCCCCATCTAGTCCGCTCTCAGGACCCTGGGCAGCGGCGGGTACTGGACCGGGCAGCCCGGCAGCGTCGCATCAACAGACAGCTCGAGGCCTTGGAGAATGACAACTTCCAGGATGACCCCCATGCTGGACTCCCCCAGCTTGGCAAGAGGCTGCCTCAGTTTGATGATGATGCAGACACTGGTGAGGCAGGTGGAAAACAAAGGGTGGTTGGGCCTGGCAAGACAAAGCTGAATGAAGAGGGAAGAGTTTGCCTGGGTCAGGGTTATGGGAGGACCCAGGAGTCCTTTCTGCCTCTGCCAGCTGCTGTGGCTGTGTGGAGGTGGCCTCAGGTTCTTCCTGTGTGTGTGGACTGGACAAGATGGAGAGGACAATATCTGATGTGAAGCCTGAGGTGTGGGGTATGGAGATGACAGTTGGTTAGGATTTGAGAGGTGGGGTGAGGGCAGAGGCTGGTGGAGCAGGGGAGACTTAGAGCCCAGGGGAGCATGTGGGCACTGGGAGTGACAGGCACAGAAAGGTGGAGTCTTCCTTGGCATGTGTCAAGCAACTAATTGCGTTTCACTCCTAGGAAAAAAAAAGAAGAAAACTCGAGGTGATCATTTTAAACTTCGCTTCCGAAAAAACTTTCAGGCCTTGTTGGAGGAGCAGGTGAGATTGGGGCCAGGTTGGGAGGACCTCCAGGGAAGGGTCAGGCCTGTGGAGAGCCTGGTCCTTATTGGATGTTTGCTGCACGGGTGGGCAGAGGGGTCAAAGAGCCTGCCTCTTCTCTGCAGAACTTAAGTGTGGCCGAGGGCCCCAACTACCTGACAGCCTGTGCAGGGCCCCCATCACGGCCCCAGCGCCCCTTCTGTGCTGTCTGTGGCTTCCCCTCCCCATATACCTGCGTCAGCTGTGGTGCCCGGTATTGTACTGTGCGCTGCCTGGGAACCCACCAGGAGACCAGGTGAGCATGGGACTTCACTTGGTCCATACCCACTCCTCTCCCTGTCAGCCTCTCCCAGGCCTCTCTCCTCATCCCGGGCTTCCTCTCTGCAGATGTCTTAAGTGGACCGTGTGAGCCTGGGCATCCCTGGAGAGGCAGGGCCTCTGTGTATCACCTGGCCTCTGAAAGGCATCACTAGAAGGAGGGGGATCTCCCTGGAGCAAGAGAGGAGCCACTTTCTCACGCACTTATCCAACAAAACAACCTACCAGTGAAGACCAGTCTCACATCCAGGGACTATGGTGGGAGGTGGGCCGGGCACACTGAGTGCTGTTATAATAAAGGTCTCATGCTAGGACCCTTCCGTTTGGTTGTGGGTGCTTGAGGGTGAGGGTGATGTGTCAATTTATCCTCCTCACTGCTCTGTCTCTCTTCTCACCCTTTCCACTGTTTACACCTCTATGTCCCTGACCTTGAGATTTTGTCACCTTCCACTCCCACATTTCTGCCCTTGTTGGCCACTGCTTTATGTTTTTTGGTTGTTGACTTTGTTTTTGCTTTTTGCTTTCCTCTAGTTGCTCTGAATATTTTCAAAGTACAGCTAGGTCCCAGGGTTGGGAGATGGTAAGAGAACTAGAGCGGTAGGTGCAGAATAATGTGCTACAGAAAGAACCAGGTCTGTCTCCATCATCAGATACTTAACCAAATGGGAGTGACTGGGCCTTGGTCCTTAGGACCAGGCCCAAGGAACAGTTGTCTTTAGGAAGACTCTGTTTGCAAGGGCTGTAGTATATGAAGTTATTAGCAGCTCAGAAAACCAGAAGTTTCTGGGAGGCATGGTAGAATTCATGGTAGAGGTTTCTTTCTTTCTTTTTTTTT